TTGCAGAAGATGGCATACGGGGTCGTACAAGCGAAACGTAAGCGTTCTTTCCTGTAGCTCCTATTTCATTGAGAGTGATGCGGTTTAATGGATAGTTTCTACGTACGATGGCGTTGTGTACTACGAGAACGCCTTCGGTGCTGCGCATATTTACGTGTTGGTGTCATTCACACTCGATTAATTTGAATCGGCCGAAACAAAGCACGCTCACTGAATGTTCTTGTTGGAACTTTCGGCATTAAGTAACCCGTATATCATTAGATCGTAATAGTAAATATTTTTTCCAACAACTGGGAGAAGGAATGCGTCTTACACTGAACAATGATAGACGCTCTTGTTTGTTCTAGTAACATTAATGAGCGTTTTCCAAATAAGTACTTACCAAATGTTATTTATTGGACTCTGGCTAACTCACCTTAAAATATGATAAGTTATAAACCCAGGTGGTGGTGTACTACATGAGCTTGGCTTGACCATAAAGTTTTTTAGATATACCACTGACTAATGTTCATACAACTACGTCGTAACGAGGTTCCAAAAGTTTTGAGATATCTTGAAATTTGGCTACAATACAGCACGTGACTCTTACTACCATGTTTCTGTTCTAACTTACTATCTTCATAACTTCTGTTAAAAGAAGAGTTCACTGCAATGAGAAATCTTATTTTAACATTTATTTATACCTGAATACACTGGCTTATCGACCATACCGCCTTCATCTTATTAACATAAACCGAGATTCCAGCTACTTGGCGCATTGTAATTGCAGCGGCAGCAATGGTGCGGGCAACCTTGAAAGGGAACTAATATATTCGCCGAGTTTTGCATCCTTAGCCGCTTAGGATGACAACGGAGAGTCAGCAAAGGAATATTGCCACTTTTGAAGAAAGCGAAGAGGCGGTTGATGTCATGAACCGGGCCTTTACTCTTGTGTTTTAAATGTTCTTTATTTATTTTCAAACATAAATATTTTGTAGTTCTTAACCACAGTCCTGTGACAAGTCCCAACATTTTCGCTGGCGGTTGTAATTCAACTACGTGGAGCCGCTCTGCGTCACTGTCCCGCACATTTCTCGCTGAGGACATAAATCTGCAGTTTGCCCCTGCGGCCTGACACTAAAGCGCTCGTAACGGAAGCCCCGTCCAGCAGTTACGGCACAATCCGCTTCCGGGAGGTCGCGTTTGGGGCGAACGACAAATGGCGGGAAACTGGCCCGGACACATTTGACGAGTTTGTATTCTGTACGTGCTTTTTAAGTAACTTGCTCAGGTGTTTTGGTTAACCACCACTAGCTTTACTATTAAGCTTCCATGAAGATAAATCTTCAGAATAGCTCCAAGGACCAAGTATGTTGTATGAAGATGAACAAGATGAATGTGAAGTATGTGTTTTACTATGAAACAAGAAAGATGACATAGGCAAATTGTGCCAATTAAAGGGAAAACGGCGAATCGAGCATATGTGTGAGAAGCAGATGGGTATTTTTTTCTGTGGAACTGTTGGAACAAACCCTAGGATCCCACACTTTTGAGTTAGACAATCTAGTGTTTTTTATCTAATGCAAGTGAACTGACTAAAATCATAAAATACTATATTATAATTGTATTTTTTTAAAAATTTCAATACATGGCATACCTAATTTCTGACATTTTCACATACGTTAATCGCGTGTTCTCTCTTAACATTTACAAATTAGTTATTACGAGACATAATAAACTATGCAAGAATATAAATTGTCAAAGAACTGAGACAGCCCCACAGAACACCCGAATTCTAAAATGTGGTCAGCACCTGAGTTATGCAACCCACTTAACACAAACCTGACATTCAGAACACAAGCATGCTTCGTCGTTGTCCAATAAATACTAATTTTCGTGTCATGGCTTAATTTAAAATGAAGAGTGATGTCTAAAAGCCGACAACTTGTCATCTCCTGGACCTAGAACTGGATGCGATTTTGGATGGCGGAAACGTCAATCCATTTGAACGAGACGCTGCTCATCCCGGATAGTCAAGAATGCACACAAATCTGATAAGGACCATTTACAAGGCAAAAGTAAACATAAGCATAACGCATAGACGTAAAATTAACATAAGTTATAAGACTTAAGTATTCACAATGACTACCATAAACGAGAGCAAAGAGTTTCTATTGGCTGTGAGACATTTTAGTTTACTATTGGTTGGAAGTGAGAATCGATTTCGAAGTATCCACTGTATCCATGGTCCTTATGTCGTTAGTTCGTCTATCGATTTCTTATTTCGATTCTCAATTGGGAGCTAAGGTACTGTGATTGGTTCATTTCTTTTGTCTTATTGTAGCATAAGAACATAAGCTTGGAGCTTGCAAGCTTTTAAGTTAACGTCTTACGTGCTGTGTTTATACGAACGCATAGTGAATGAGTCCACTTATGAATGTAGTCCTAACTTTTATGTAAACGCCATTCTTATGTTTATGTTTGCACTGGTAACGAGTCTTTACTGCTCATTTACTATCGCGGATTCTAGGTCCCCGCTGCGAGAGAGTAGTCTGTGGAAAGTAACATCACCCAGGTCGCTGAAAAAGATTATTTGAAGTTTGGTTAACTATTCATGAATGTCTTGCTTCGTTCACTGTTCTTCTGCTTCGATTAAAATTCAAGAGCTTCTGCGCGAGAAAATCTTTCAGTTTATACCAGGTGACATGGGTGATTCCAACCGCGTCAACTTCTTGATGTCAGTATTTCTGTAAATGTAGAACATGGAGGTGGTTGTGCTTCTCCCCTCTCTGATACGTGAGATTCACGATCTCCACGTCGACTTTCCCAGTTGGCCCATCTCCAGGTATCTCTCCAGGCACTCCACTCCTAGTCTGGAGAGGTTAGAATCTCCCGCATAGTCTTTAGATACGTTTAGGATTGTAAAGAATGAGAACTCTTCACGGGCCACGGACCGCGCGCGATCATTCCTTCTATCCTCACCCCAGTACACACACGTACACTAACATGCTCTACACTACCACACATTCCGGGAGACCGGTCGGGCGCGGAGTTCCGGCTAGAGGAGTTCCGGCTGGGGAGGTGTCCAGCTGGTGGAAGATGCCTATTTGGGGGAAAACTCGCTATCCGACGGTAGGTCGGACCAGAACTCCCTATACAGCGGGAAACACCACCAGAGCACGAGCAAAAACATACACTACACTTACGGGAATAACGACCCTAGTCGTTGACGCGCCGGGAAACACTAATAATCAATCAATCAGTACCAGCATCTACTATAACGTGAGTACAATTTAAACTTTCCAGAAGCGAAAAGCCACCTTCCGTCTTGGGCGATTCTACCGACCGCCCTGTCTCGATTTCGCCGGGATCCATGGCCTCGTTCGCAGAGGCCAAATCCTCGCGCGATTTATAAAATGGTCTAACTGCAGAAATCTTATTTGCATCGGTAAACATCGTGACCGCTGAGCCATCACACAGTGACCAGAACTCGACGGCGCTCCGCTCCTCCTTGCAGACGCGGCGACCGGATGATTCAGTCGGCGCACGCGCAGCGGCACGCTTCCGCTTGTGCGTGCGACGTACTCCCACGCTCACGCACCCCGCGTCACGCGACCTCCGGCCAGCGCCACGCGCCACCGCCTCCGCCGCCACGCCCACCCCGTCGCTCTCTCGCGGCCGCGCCGGAAGCTACAGCAGCGACCGTCAACCCGGCCATGGCAGGTGAATCGAAGAATCAATGTTCAACCCCGCTAGTAATTAAAAAAAACACTCACTGAAAATGTTATTTTAAAAAAGGTTTTCAATAAAGCCAATTGATAGATCGATAAACGACATCTTTTATTTCGCTTAGATTTTCGGATTCTGTTTTTAAATTCACCGCACTAAAGAATTTATTATTTTATCACTTAAACAAAATTTTTCTGAATTTGTCTGAACAGACTCCCACGGCAACACAGGAGATCTTGCGGAAAATCGGTTGTGAGGAAGTAGAAATAAAGTTGGAAATATGTTGCACGTATGAAAATATATTGTACACATCGTATGCAAACGTCTAAATACGCGAAGTCAAAATAAACACGGAAATTCAATAGGTTATTTTGTATGTGTAAACATTCTTCTCTTGCAGGCTCAAATGCGCTGGGCTATCATAATTTCTGTTTTGTGTTTATATGCACAGTAATAATGACGTATGTAGTTATAATTTAACAAAAAACTCTCCGCGAGTATCCCGGCAAAAAAAGCCGTTAAAAATCGCGTGCTTTGGTGCACGAAATTTTCATTAACCCACCTCAACTTGTGAGCAACCTAAAATTTCAGCAACTCGCATATAATCACCACCAGCTTCCGTTTCGCAGCTTTCAGGCTGGCCACTCATTTCCTGGAACTATTCAGGATTCTTAGTGCATTTTTTATACCTCCCCCCTCATACGATTTGTAATTTCATACTATATTTTAAAACAATTTTAATGTCTCTGATAGTAATTCGTCATCTGCCTGATTTTATCTTCAAAAACAAGTTAAGATAAATCAAACTTGATAAAAAATAAGCATGTGGTAATGTTTTCAAGAAATCTTATTTAATAACCTTCGAAAAAATTACCCTGACTTCTAGCGCTTCTTCTACAAATTTCCTGACTTTCCCAGAGCAACGAAATTCCCTGACTTTTCTCGGTTTTCCAGAAAGCTGCCATCCTGAGCTTTGTATAGCGCGCGCTCGCCATTTGCCTTTTCGCCTCCACTCCAACCTCCACCCCCGCCCCCGTCGCACAATAATCAGTGGAGCCAGTGAGCCATTAGCGCGACCCGGCGGCGGCGGCAGCGAGAGCGGCGTCCTACGTGCTATTTTTACACGGGTGCGCGCGACCGGAAGAGGCTCGCGGCACGTGGACGCGTCCCCCATCACACCGTCCCCGGCCCCGCACCCCCCCTACGCCCCGACAACGCACACGAGGGGGTTGCAGAGCGTCGGAAAAAATATGAGCGAGGGGAAGCGCCCTTCCAGATCGTTCAGATTGGTTGGGGAATGAAGGACAAGCAAGTAATGGTTGATGCGATTAAGTCGAGCCATATTTGGGATAATTTATTATGGTAGGTGGTACCGTAAAGGTCTTTGCTCTATGCTAGTTGTACGTTTTTCAACCCAAAACTACAATTACTTTTATGGTAATATAACAATTCACATTACGTTTTAATTGCGTTATACCATTCGCAGCACACAATGTCACATTGTACAATAGAAACAAAATCATTCCCGCTTCCAGTCACAGTATGATATTGACAGAATAATAAATTTAATGAGGAAATAAGCTAGATTTGAACTACTGGTGTATCCCTTCGGGAAGGTATGAAGGATCCCGTAAACTGAAACATATGTCTTTGTTAATGTTTTGTAAAATTGCATAATAGCAATTTTAGTAAAAATAATAGAATGGGCTGGTTTTGTTAACAAATGTCCTAAACGTAATTGCAACTCGTAGTCCCATCCATTGGGTATTTACCTGGTTTCAAATACTAACAACTTATAGAAATGTTTTCAATGATTTGACAACGAAATTTCGAATTTACTCTCTCCCTATTTTACTAAAGTAATACTTTATGTATTTAAAGTTAAAGCCGTTTGTATCCCAATAGTTTGACAACTTTTAAACATTAAATAAACTGCATCAAGTGGCAAATGATAAACAATACAATAACAGTGCCTATGAGGAATGTAGAGTAACTGGAAACTGCAAAACTTACGAGTACTCTACTTGCCAAATGCTCTTTTTTACTGTAGAATAAAAAATGCAATGAAAAAATGCAAATCTAAATAAACCTAACTGTTCGTCACGTCTCGTAGCGGAGGCACAGTAGATAAGTGCAAGTAGTACCTTAATTTGTGTCTGTGATCGCCAAACCGTAGCCACAGCAACAACATAAAATCGCTTTTCTTCGCGTAATCCCTTGCGTAACCACACTGCATGCGTTTGCATACGGAAAACTCTAGGCGGCTGCTTGTATAAGTGGCACGGCGCGTGATTTTAAATAGTTTATGAAGGCTTCCATGAAATTTGCCGCAAGTTCTGGAGTTTTAGGTTCAACGCATGTCTTTACACGGATTTATCCACGGCGAAAAAGACTATTAAAAGGGTTTGAAGTAGTACGTTTCAGGAGAAGTACATTTTTTCCAGTTTTTAAATTTATTGCTTAAACCGAACTTTTTTACAATAAAAAATGTAATTTGGAATTTTTATAAATTAAAGCAAAGTGGTATTTAAAAGTTGGAATCGGTGGCCCAAGTCCTTGAAGCAATGTCAAAGGACCCGGAGCAACAGAGTGCGAGTTCGACATCCACATTCCGGCCGCCATGTACCATTGCCGTAGCCACTGCAGCTTTTTAACACGTAAGCCTGAGTGCTAAGAATATTAACTTCACTTGAGGAAAGTATCAGTGATGTCAAAGTTCTTGATATTTAATTCCAATTTACGAGAAATTATTTGTTAGACGCTTAGCACAACGGAGACAAATGCTACAGTGATTGCTTGCTGGACACTGGGTACCCACGTTTGTATTGTTCTCATCGTTCAATCGTTTGATCAATCGTTATCATTGCTCTCAAAGATAAAAAAAAGGTAATCTTAAAACAATTAATCCAGAAGATCGAGCAATATTTATTTTTAAAATTAGTTTAATAAATATTTTATTACAGTATGTTCAAATTGACAATGTGTGATATGAGCTCCTGACTCGTTTGCCTGAGGATGGGGAAAATATGTCCCCGAAACTGTTGCGCATTCGAGTAATTGTAATCTAGAGATGTAATAAAACTAAATTGAGAAGAGTCGTGTCTGTCTATAAATCATCTTGGGACTCCATTCCTTTAACTTTAGTTTCAAATTGGGTAAATTTGTTTGTAAATGTTCTATATACGACAGCGTATTTTCATATTACGTATTATATCACTTTTACTTTCACGTGTACATATATACGGAGTAAAATACGTAGTATGAAGTCAAATATTGTTGCGGAAACTCTTATTTCAGGATTTCAACGAAAATAAAAGTTTTAGGCGCGCCGATGCCGGAAAAAGGTTGTTCTTTTTAAACATTTTCCTTCGTCTGTCCGTGAGTCCGAACAACACTAATGCGTAACTATTCGTAGTTTTTTGCCAGCGATTTGGAAAGGATTTTGGGGGTACTTTACATGAAGCTCCTAGATAACATCAGTTTGATTTCTAAAATGATTCAATTTTTTCTTTAAACTTCTTGTAAGATTAGAGTGAAACACACGTATAAAGATGGTAAAGGTCCGATTTTCTTTTTTAATTCTCAATTTTTTTAAAGTTCAAAAGATTCAATCACACAATTACACTATTGAAGGCAGTTTTTTTTTTATTCACATTGAAATTTGTTCATAATTATTTCTTTAATTAACTTTAAATTTAAAAATGTTAAGTTAAAGATATTGTCTGGTGTCAAAAAATATATTTTGCTAAAGATCATTTCGATTGCTTAGCGATCATCCACGGAGCTTGCAGCTTCTGGGCAGAAAACAAAATTTTGCCATGATCGGTACGCGATCGAAACGAACTTTAGCGAAATATATTTTTCATACCAGACAATATCTTTAACTTACCATATTTAATTATTAAAAGGTACGTATCTACCTCACCAGCGATATATTAATAGCGTTAATGTGTTGTTTTTTTTTAAATTAGTGGCCTTGGCGTACTTTTGAGTGAAATATGTGCGATTCTTTCGGACTCCAGTAACGCAGCGTGGCGTGGACCACCCACGGCACAGGCGGCTTCAAGAGCGCCGCGACCTCCGTTCGCCAACTGGCGCTGGTCGCGGTGCTGACGGGGCAGTCAGCTGGCCGCCCCTGGCGTCAGCACTCGCATCTCGAGTACGCCTTCACTGCAGACACGCATGCACAAGCCTGCAAGTCGTAGCGCACCCCACGTTCTCTTTACGCAACGTGGAAGTTAGTTCACACGAGACGATGAAGCCTCGAGGGTGTCCCAGACGATCATGCCTTGCAAATGGCCCGGCGATTGTTTTGTAATATCGGAATCGCTTAACCTTGAGTTTGGTTTCTAAGGTGTTAAATCTGATCCCAAGTGTTCTAAAGTATTAGAGCGGGTGGACGGTCGAGCGGACGGGCGGTTTGCCAGGCGGTAGTGGCGGGCAGGGCGG